GGAGACGCCATAGTGGAGAGCCCTGAAAATTTTGACCACCTGGGGTTCCTCAACGTGCACTCAAATCTGATCACACGGCCCTATATTTCCAGAACCTCTATGATATATTTCCTCTATGAACCTCTATGAACAGATATATTTCCAGAACCTCTATGCACGCCAGTACACAGGGTTGGCAAAGTAGAATACGTATTGAAGGGGTAGACAGAATGTAAATTCAGCCAAGTGAAGAAACATTCGAGTGCTTTAAGAGTACCGACATTCTTGGAAGAACAGGTTTTCTGTACATCGAGGAGTTCTTATCGTTTGATACATAGCAAACAATCGAAAATAGATTATGTTTTTTTCCATTCTTCGAAATCGGTATACTAACTTATGGGATGTTTTACAGAGAACCCTGTAGAAAACATTGCTCTACATCCATTAGAAGTAATTTTTACACTATTGTAAATGAAGGTCTATTGCCTTTTGACCTAATTCTGCCTCTTGGCCTCTTTATGGCGAGAGAGAGTGGCCGAATTTCATTTTAACGCTAGTAGACCAACTCCACATATCCCTTTTTTAGAGTGCATAGTCCCGTAGACTGACGCACAAAAAATAGACTGTTGCAGGCTTGCTGGCTTGGTATGAAGCTCTGCAATATTTTCAAAACTTTAGAGGAGAACAAGTTTTTTTTTTACTTAACCCATATCAAATGGTGTTGTACTTTGCGGGAACTAACTTTTAGGCACGTCAGCAAAAATTTGTTGAAATGCAGTAAATTGGTGATGTAGAAGTTTTTAATCAGTTGCTAGAGAAAACATCAGCTATTGCAAAAAACGTTTTCGAACATTTTATTTTTAATACTGGCAATAGGAACATGAATTTCTGTTTATTTGGCAAGCTTTAAGAAAAATTGACAGATTCCACGTACAGTGGAACTCGATGATACGCGAAGAATGGGAGAGGTTGATATGTCACTTTAAAATCAGCACAACGCTACGAGGTGGCAGTAAATGATGCCATACATGACTTCAGTGTCATGATTATAATGTTTGGATGTGTCGTTTACCTTCGTCATCTATTCAAGTCACGTGATACCAAATTTAGTATATTTGAAGCTAATGAAACGCCCGCTAGCACGCTATGAGCATAGTATGTTGCCATGTTCTTACATGACACGGGTGTAAGGATTATAATGTTTGCACCAGTCATATATTTCGTCATCCATTGCCGCCCCGTAGCACCAAATATGGTACATGTAGAGCTAGCAAAACGGCCACGAGTGCATCATGAAGGGCCCAATATACTCCATTGTAGCGTTGACGCGCACGCACGCTGGGCACAGCGACGCTGCGCTAGCAAAACACGAGCACTCTACAGTCTGACGCCAGGAGCGACCGGCGCGACCAGCGCCATCGGCGCAGCCCGACGGCAGCCGGTGTGAAATGGGACATGCTGCATTTCGTGCCGGTGCGTTACCCAGACAACACTGCGTCTCCGTCTTTTCATGACGGAGTGACGCTGGACGTGCTCAAATGCGCATGCGTCGAAGCAATGCAGCATCACCCGCGCCTGCCAATATATGGCAGAACCGGCGCCTGGCGTGGCAACGCTGGCACGGCGCAACGAAATGAACGCCGGTGGGCACGCGCGCCACGTCAGGCCGAAATGTATTGGCACCTTGGCTTCGGCACATAGTCATGCTCTCACATGACACGCATCTCATGATTATGATGTTCGCGCAAGTCACATACCTTCGTAATCCATTGACGTCACGTAATATCCATTTTGGCATATGTGAAGCTAGCAAAATGGCCGCGAGCGCATCATCAGTGCGGATGTAGTCATGTCGTTACATGTCACGCGTGTCGGGATTATCATGTTTCAAAGTGTCATTTACCTACGTCCTCCATTCGCATCACGTAATACCGAGTTTGGTACAAATGAAGCTAGCGAAACGGCCGTGAACGCATCATGAGCGTAGCCTGTAGTCATGTTGCTACATGACACGCATCTCATGTTTATATGCTTGCACCAGCATCATATACCTTAACCATCAATTCACGTACGATAATACCAAATTTGGTATATGGGACGCTAGCGAAGCAGCCGTGAGGGCATCATAACCGTGGCATGCAGTGATGTTGTTACATGAAACACATATCAGGATTTTCATGTTAGGGTCTGTTTCATGCTTGCGTTCACCATGCAATCATGTCATACCATACCATTGATTGATATGTGGGGTTTAACGTCCCAAAACCACTATATGATTATGAGAGACGCCGTAGTGGAGGGCTCCGGAAATTTAGGTGTCATACCATACCAGTACTGTAACACGCCATGTGAACGAATCCACCGCAAGAGCTGCAAGACCATGAAATGTAAATCATGACATTCATGACATACAAGTGATGATTTTTATGTTGTGACTACTCAAATATGTTTTTCATACAGTCATGTAATGCTATACCAAGTTTGGTATCGATACCATTATCGAAACAGCCAGGAGAGCTAAAAGTAGTAGGCGGCTAGACAGACAGACAGACAGACAGACAGACAGACAGACAGACAGACAGACAGACAGACAGACAGACAGACAGACAGACAGACAGACAGACAGACAGACAGACAGACAGACAGACAGACAGACAGACAGATAGACAGATAGATAGATAGATAGATAGATAGATAGATAGATAGATAGATAGATAGATAGATAGATAGATAGATAGATAGATAGATAGATAGATAGATAGATAGATAGATAGATAGATAGATAGATAGATAGATAGATAGATAGATAGATAGATAGATACACTCAAAGTCGCCGAAGTTCGCTATGAAATGCTTCGCAATTAAAAATAAAATAACATTTTGCCACACTTGTGCACCTAAGACTGCAGTGGTCATAAATTTAATACCTGCACTCTGCTCGGCTGCAACAACTTCACCTTTCGCCAGTACATTCGATCTTCGTAAGCGGAAATTTTTTGTGCTTCTTCTCCAGTTTTCACTTCTTTATCCGTATCTTGTTCTTGTCGTAGGATGCTCGCTACAGTTTCTTCCTTAGACAGAGTGGCGCACGTCTCAACAACGAGAGTAACATATGACGTAGTCCTCGAGATGAAAAGCGCTAGCTGTGCCTACTTTTTACACATTTCTTATCAATATGACAGTAGAAGGATTGTATAGTGTTGCAAAATGTCTTCATACTCTAGAAAGTCTTTCTGCACTAATTTCGCTGATCTTAAAGGCATTAGCATTGCGTCCAATGGCGCTTCGGCGATGGTTTAGAAAGCGTTTGTACGACTACGCAGTTTCTGCAATGGACGTTCGTTCAAAGGGTACGGTGTTGACAGTATTGCACGAGTCTGCATTATTCTAAGCGATGTCTGTTACTGAAGTATATACCAGGTCAATAAACCACTTAGAGAGAAGTTCGAATGGTCAAAAGCTTTTGAATTTTGAAGCTCGTCTTCAAACCATGAGCAGGCGGGTCGGAATCCCGGCTCTCCAGAAAATTTTGCTTGATACATTTTTTACATTTACTTCACAACTCTTCTCGACCTCTTTTTTCTCCCCACACCCTATACGAGGCGATTGCTTGGAGATCTTGTTATTTGGTGACGTTATTCTATAACCACCTGCAGAGCCCAATTCCGGGTTGAACAGTTTTCATGGTGAAAGTGCTACTGGAAGATATCTGCAGAAAGTATGCCTATGAAGTCATGGTTGTTATCTTAAACGCGTTTCTGTTGTCCTTTAATTTTACCAAACTTCATTACATGCTTTATTCAACAGAAAATTTATTCATAACAGCAGAGATGATGCCTTTATTATCAAACAAGATAATGAAACATTTTATGTAGGCTGATTATAGGCGATTTGTCGCTCTTCGGTACTCATTGTTGTAGAAGGGTGGTAAGCCGTAAGGTTGGTATATATTTATGCTTTTTAAAACGCACACAATGTGGTTAAATGCCGAGACAGTAATTTTATCAGCTATTAGTGTCATTGTAAATATGAGCCAGTAGAGAAAGATCAGTAGTCAATATTGCCATGGCCATCATTGTCCTGTCAAGGTGCATGAGGACAAGGGCCTTTCGCATCTTTCTGCAAATAAAATGTTCCTGTACTTGAGCGGTCAATCAGCTAGAGCAGCCTTTTGCGGAAACAAATATTTCATCCAATTACCAGCTACACTCACTTCTAAGATAAGGCCGACTTCGCTAACGCTTTGCCGATGTGACAGTCCCCCCATTCGAGTATAGACCTTACGCACTAACTCTACAAACACGTGGATTTATATTTGCCCCTTAAGTTCATTTCTGTTTCTACCAGAAGTCCCCAAAGTACATAAAGAGTGTTTATGCGAAGCTTGTACTAGATACCCAGAGTACTGTGGCAGTCTTACCAGCTACTGTTTCCAGATGGCACGTGTGTATGGCGGTTTTGGTCACTGCATGTCACGCAGAGGGAAAACCAAGAAAAGAATGTTTCAGAGCTTGTTTTTAAAATTGTTAACTAAGCTCCAATATCTTCCTTGCTTGAGTTCTGTTGCCTACATGTTGATTGCGAAGGTGAAAATATTTATTCTTTACAGATATATAGTTTGTACCATGAGCAAAAGCACCCCAGCTAAAATGAAGTATCTTTATTATACTATTATTTGCCTTGATAAATATATATATTTTTTAATTTCCGCAAGTTGGACGTTCTTCCCTCTAGCCCGACGTTCTCGAATAGCTTACACTGCAGCATGCTATGGCTCAAAAACACCTGCCAAGAAGCTATCCTATACATTCCACGATTAATTAGAAAAATATAATGAAGCTCTTTTTTTCTTCCATACTGAGTGCGCTGCGCTGTTTCGTAATTGAATATACTGAAATTTTGTGCACAGGATGAGGCTGTCTAACAAGGCTCTCTGATCCTATGCTTAAAATGTCATAACGAGCTTAATTATGTAGCGTAGCCCACAATTTTTTGTATATAAGCCCACACTGAGTTCGGTACGTAGATCTGCAGTAACCTGCGCTGAACACTGACGCATCTTTCTAAAGGTGAGGCGACACTGCTTGCAGTGGATGTAGCCCGCATACTCTCCGTTTAGATAAAACATTTGAACAAGAATGATGTGCATGCCTTGAATTGAAAAGAAAGCGTTTTTATGGAAATAAGTGCTTGAAGAGAGTACATTCATAAAATATTCTTGCGCGGTCACGAAGTAGTACCTAAAGGAATAAAACATAAACTTTCAGTTCGTTGTATTGTCTTCGTGCAGTATACGTCAACTGCGCGCTAGCAGGGGAACCGTTTCTAAAGACTACGTGCCTGAAGACTTTTTTCAATTTTACCGCTACGTAAGTGGTGTGTCCTTCCTAAGAAGAGAAACGCCCTCTGATAAAATCAATTCTCTATCTTTTGTGGTGTTGGGCGCACAATTATTCTAGGAATTCCTACCCATATACACTTTCACACTGGCGGCACTTTCAATGCACCTTTTTCGCTCACCTTTTCTGTCCTCCCACAGCTGAAGACAACATGAGGCAACCGCTTGGAATGAATCTATTGGCGATCGTTGCCACTGCAATAGGTAATCCACTTTAACCCCCTATAGAACTAAGAAAGGCTGCACTGAGAGACGCGAAAATCTGCTTAACTGCCAAAGCAGACTTACACAAGGGCACTTACATGAACAATGTCTCGCGGCGTTTCTGAATGTAATGTGGTTACCTGGACATTCGGTGTCAATGCACGAAGTCGGGGAACGTCCCTGACTGACTTGTGCAGCTCTAACATGAGAACATGATAGAAAGGTGGGCTAGTTGGTATGTCATGACTGTTCCGAGAACTGCATGGGAGCCCTGGAGGAACACACACGAAGAAACGACGAGGCACAAAGCACGAACGCACCCTAAAATACCTGCGAAACACACAATACTCATCACACATACACAAACATGCACACAATGTTAGCAATATATTACAACACCCATACTGACCACAGCTCGCCACTCCCGCTCGTGCTGTAAGCCTCCTCTTTGCTTCGTGCGTGTGTTCCTCCAGCGCTACCGGTTCGCTCAACAATCAGCTTTTACATGGCTTCGCTTGTCGATTCCAGTGGTATGTTTTAGTGGAGACGAAATAACCACCTTATCTAAGCTATCAAATTCAGCAGAATGCTAAACCATGTGAATCAAGTAGGGCATGCAAGTTTTCGGATTTACACAATTTTGCAAAAGCTTCTGCTCAACGCTAAGTTCACAAAAGAGTTTAAGCAGTGTCCGCGTATCTACATGTATTTGTTGCCTCTTAGCAATTAACCTTAAGGCACAGCTTACCTTTATAGCAGTGTTGAAAATGTATGTCTTGAGCAATTGTTCCTTTATACCCTAATTTATTCTACTCGCTTTTTTCTGTATATTATATATATATATATATATATATATATATATATATATATATATATATATATATATATATATATATATATATATATATATATATACACTTCCCAAGTCTGTATTCAATTGACTGCGAACTGTGAACACGACCCCAAGCAGCTTTCGGCTTTCATTTTTTCGACAATGCAATTTCTTGTGGTTAATAGAGAGTGATGCAAAATCTACTAAATAACAAAGCTTATTCGTCAACATATACAGGAGATAGTCATTTCGGGTAACTTTATTCTCGCAGCAAAACGGTGTACCATCTTTCACTAAAGGAAAAAGAAGCAGGGTTAAACTACATAATAGAATACGGCAAAATTGCAGTTATCTCGTGATGCCCTACCAGATTAAAGAAACCGCTTGATCACACAGTCGTTAAAACCACTTTCACTTTGTTGCAGCTGTAATTATAATGGCTCCAAATGAAGCTCTTGCGCTCGGAGGATACGTTGGCGGAAACGGAGCCATTGATTTTGGTCGCAAAAAGTGATGCAACGTTTGTCTTATGGGAACCACGTACACAGGGCATCCAGATATAGCGCCACCCGTCGCGCATTGCCGATGCGCGTCACCTATGGAGCTGCGCTCTTCAATGGGCTCAGCCTGTGTGCGGCCCGGGGGAGAGGTGTTTCGGCTGCCAGGAAGGACGGACGGTGTCACCCATGCTATAACCGAATCCTGCAGCACAAAATCATGGTCGCTGCGTAGCTGCGTCGTGTCCCTGGGCCAACCCTGCCATGTACCGTATTTAGTTTAATAAATTGTCTTGATTTGATGGGAAGCTTCCGTCGTGCTTTGATTTACCGATGGACGCGACGCATCAAGCCCGATACCCACAGTCTTCAGTAAATACAAACCTCGTGACTATGTCACCTGACCCGCAGATCGCGGGATCAAATCCCGGCTGCGTCGGCTGCATTTTTGATGAAGGTGAAAATTCTGTAGGCCCGTGTGCTCAGAGTTGGGTGCACGTTAATGAACCACAGGTGGCAGGTATTTCTGGAGCCCTTACTGCGGCGTCTGTGGTGGTTTTGGCACGTTAAACCTGTCATATCAATCAATCATGTCATCTTATAATCTCTAGCACACAATAAAAAATAATGAGTGAAAGTGTGTCGACCGTTTCTCGTGTACACCTGACGCGAGAAACGTACAGATGTTACCCATGCTACTTGTCACTCATTTATGTGATGATTGTCTAACCGGAATTCGGCGTTGGCAACTGCATAAAAAGGATCAATATTTGATACGCTATTCTCGATAGGGGTCAAGATGACATATCAGTTGAACGAAGGACTTATAAAATTCTTTTATGGAAAACGAATAGGCGCATCTGAGATCATTTCAATCTTATATCTAACCGCGCAAATGAAAATATATGTATCATTTTTAAGAGAGTATCGTTAACTTTTTTAGCTGTGCTGCTAAATAGGATGAATAAAAAATCATGGGGGACCAACAGAACAAACTATTCAATTCACGGATTAGGCTCTGCAACAAGTTGCTTAAGTTATACGACACATGATTTTATAATTCAAACAAGTGATTCATTTCTCGAAAAAATAACATGGATACACCTCATGATCGTTGATTTACGAGAATATATTCTCGTGAAATTCTTCATTATCTGCCTTTCCAAACATATAAGAGCTTTATTGTCGGAAGCCTTAGATGTCTGATGCAATGTAAGAAGAGACCGTCGGCTTAAAATTTCTGCAGCAAAACAAGTGACGTAAAATATCATCGTGCCCTTGTGACGCTACCTCACAGCGTCATCTTATCACATATCGCGTAGTATTAAGACATCCCTATGACATCGGCATGATATCATTTCACATGCTCTCACATAATGACCTGGTCACATTACACCTCTGATTAGACGAAGATCAGCCAGTCACGAAGACACTGCAAAGTCAGATAAAATGAATGCTTGCAATGTGCTTGATCGTACAGGCAGTGCAATAGCACGTTAGATGCGGAAAGGTTTCAGAGAGAGGAGGAGGATGATCAGTACATAGATTCAAGAACAAAAACGAAAATGAACATGAATACCAATGTTGAGTTGTGCGAGGTGACTCCGTAAGTAACCCCGTGAGTGATCCTTTTTTTTATTTCTCGTGTTTCTGAGGGCACTGGCGTTACATTCAAACAGTGAAAAAGCACTCTAAACAAATAATAGTGTCCATTCTCTGTTTTATTACATTGTCTGAAATATTTAAATTAACAGCTTTAGCGGGAAGTGACAACAGGAAAGCAATGTATGTGCTTAACACGAATCGCAGCCACTGCGTAGGCTGTATCATCAGACTTAACAGCACCCGCTTTAGGCTCCTTCAGGGTGCCTTGTGCAAAAACAGTGTTGATGTGTTCACTGCGTGCCACATCATCCAATTTTACAAATCAGCTAAATACCCACCAGGCGCTCCCAGGGCAATATTCTCAGCTGAACAACGGCACACATTGTTGTTATTGTGCTGCGTAATCGTAAAGTGTGTCGCAAATTATTGTTAGGGCTCCGCAGCTTCGGAGTTCACGTTTCTTGGATTTTGGAACGTCATTATCAGCGATTACGTTTCTGTAGTGAATTCGGCGTTGATTAGAGTCGAGCTGTTGCAAACCTGCAATTTTCTGGAATATTGTGTTTAATTTTGAATTATATTTGGTTGAAATATCTTCTGATGTATTTTATTACCAATTAAAATGCAGTGTGACTGGTATTTCTGTTCTCCATCCTTTCATATTTTTCTCTCACTTTCTTTTCAATTTCAGTATTCATAAGGCTGTTGGCATACTCTGCGTTAAACTTACCCAGTGTGCACGGGGGAGCAGGAGCTAGCCAAGCAACACCTCAGCTTTTAAAGACAATAGTGTTAAAGATTACAGTCCATCTAGGGACACACTATTCAGCCACCCAGCCAATGTGTAAGCCCTCACTCAACGCCCGGCCATCTTCAGCTGGTGGCTGTGCTCATAGTTGGGAACATTGTTGATGAAAAGCAAATATTAGCGTATCTGAGGCGCAACATCAATAATTAAATTTCTGTCGTGTGCTCTTTTACTCAAAAATATACCGACACGTATTTCGAAGACCCTGGTTTTTCTTACGCTGCGTTAAAAATGCGATACTATGAAAAAAAAAGGTCCTCTGCCTGCAGCAGCTACCTCCTAGCGTGACGAGAAAAAAGTTGAAGAACCGCATCCTGAGTAGCCGCGGATGAGACCAGGGCACGTGTAGTACGGGCGGCGGAAGACTGTCGTCTTTCGGTGACACTTGGAGATGAGAACGCAGATGCATCATTAAGTTTTCGACCATGTCCTGTCATCTTCCTCATGAAAAGTAAAGCGCTCTATATTTTTAGTGTTTTCGATATTGCGTATCCTTAGACAAAATGATATCCCGAACACAAGAACATGGGTACATATCAAGTGGTATTTATTTGTTTGCCTGGGAGGCTCCTACGCCTAAGCACATACGCAAGTCCAAACACTAGGCTACAAATGAGCACCATTTGTTCGTACTGCTAAAGCCTTCAAGGGGCACTGCAACCCTATTTGAGCATGGTCACAAAACGCTGCTTATCGGTAGTCGAGGATCTAGAGAACGCGCGAACAAGTGAAGAGTTGCGTCCCAACTTCATCTGCGAAGCTTTCGGTGTATACTCCAAGTAAACTATTTGGCTGATAACACAGTCTTGCTTCTTCAATATTTCTTGTTGGTCTTCTTTTCCTCTCGAACATGCGAATAGCGATCCATAGGGCACAATGAAATCACGTATTTATAACGTTGCGTACAAGGCTATCGATCAATTTTGCGCCATATAGGGCCAATCAACGACGTCTCTACCGCTTTTGGTTGTGACGTCATATTTTATATTTTATTTTAAATGCGAAGTATTTCTTAAGCGAACTTCAGTGACTTTAAGCGTATCTATCTATCTATCTATCTATCTATCTATCTATCTGTCTATCTATCTAACTATCTATCTAGCCACTTACGTTTGGGTGCTCTCGTGGTCACGCCCTTGGCGTGAACCAAAATTAGCATAGGAAGATACGACGGTTTCATGAATGTGACGTTCTGGTAAATACATGAATTTTGTCACAATTCCATCGCGTACTTTGTCAAACAGTTCCGATGGAGGCGGAAATGTTTTAGGCCCGTGTACTCAGATTTGGGTGCACGTTAAAGAACCCCAGGTGGTCAAAATTTCCGGAGCCCTCCACTACGGCGTCTCTCATAATCAAATAGTGGTTTTGGGACGTTAAACCCCACAAATCAATTAATAAATCATCAATTACTTTGTCAAACACTTCCCGCCCTACAGTGGCACATACCCAAATGCGGGTATGTGCCACTGGTTTGCGGGTATGTGTCACACGTAAGAGAGAGAGAGAACATTTATAAGAAGGCCGAGAGGTCAGCCTGAGCTAGTTCGCTCTAGTCTGCTACTCTACAGAGGGAATAAGGGAAGGGGGAAGGAAAGAGGGATGAAGGGTGATGATGGGGACAAGAAGAAGTGGTGCGTATGTACAGTAGCCACTTAGCATAGTACCCTACAGTCTAGTATCTAGTCCAGTGCTTTTCATAAAATCTAAAACAGCCTTTGCAGTAGTTTTTGACACTGTTTGGTCGTTCATTGCTGAAAATATGTGGCTTTCACTCAATGGCGTTCGCCCGATGCTTGTCATGTTGCAGTTAGCGTTTTTCTTTGCGCCACAGTCACAAAATATGTGAGCTAAAGTTTCGCGCACTTGGCAGCGCTCACAATTCGGGCTGTCCGCACGGCCGATTAGGTGGGTTTAGTGGCGAGTGAAGGCGACGCCCAGGCGAATCCGGTGCGGTATATTAGCGTGTCTTCGGCTGATTTTATCTGGAAGACGAAAAGTCATACCGGGGTCAGTTTCACGCAGACGCTTGTTCCGGTGATCCGATAGCGACCAGTAAGTGGCAGCACATTCGCACATGAGCGATCTCAACAATGTGTTGACGTCACTTCGCGAATATGGTATTGGACGTACATAGGAGCGTTGTATAGTACACTGCCACCCTTGCTTCGCTATCAGCTGTTTCGTTACCAACCAGGCCGCAGTGTCCCGGAATCCGTTGGAGTGTAATCAAGTGACCGCTCCTGTGTGTTAGCGCTAGGAATCGTCCAAGCATTTGACCTATTTCGTAAAATTGTCCTCTTCTTGGGCAAGAATGGATAGCTTAAAGCGATGATTTTGCATCGGACAGAATCGTCCATTTACGCGCTGCTTGGTGTTCACAAATTTTATGGCTTCCTGTATAGCAAGTTCTGCAGCTGTCGAAGATGACCTGAGATCTAACTTGTACAGTCGGGAAATGCCGAGTTGAGGGATCACGAAGGCTGCAGCTGAGGCGGACGAAGTTACGGATCCATCGGTGTAAATGTGCACAGAGTCGCTGTACCGGTCATCCAAATGTGCCAAGGTGAGTTGCTTGAGGGCAATATAAGAAACACGTGACTTATACGAAATTCCACGTATGTGAAGGCACACCATTGGTTTAGTCAATGTCCATGGAGGCACTGCAGGGATTAGACAGGTGCAAAGCCTGAAGGGATCATGTGTCTATGCGTATCGAAGCATCGCGAATAGGTACAGCCTGGTCGGTCCGCTTGTAGCGAAGACAACGGGTGTGGTGCATGTCGGGTCAGCAGACGAAGGTGCACTCGAAAAGGCTCACAGGACGTGTAAACCTGTATAGGGTAGTTGCGGGACTCCTCTATAGTGCCAGAGGTTGACGTGCATCGT